CCCCAGCCAGCATGGCTGGCTGGGGAATTCTGGGAGTTGAAGTCCACCCATCTTCAAGCAGGCAAGGTTGATCACTGGGCATGATCATTCCGTCCCAGGCTGGTGGCCTTCTCTGGGGTAGCAAAATTTTGCCACGGAGTAGGTGACTTCAGGATTTCTCTTCAGCTACCACAGAATGTACATAAAATTCTTTGGTAGAACTGGGAAGATTTTTTAATAAAGACTGGAGGATCATTTGTCTCAAATCAGTATAAAAGGCACAACGTAAAAAAATCACACTGCATGGATTGAGTCCCATCACCCCCGATCCACCTGGGCACTGGCTCTGCGATCCTGGAATTTTAAGGGATTTGCCCTCTGGGACGGCTGGCACGTAAAGGCCCCTCTCTAACCCGAATGCATGAGAGAATACAGATGTTTTGCAGAGCTGAAAGACCTCCTTGGTCTTCATCTCGATCCGTTTCAAGCAGCCGTCCCTGCTTGTAGAAAGAAGCATGTAACCTTGGAATAGCTTATGAGAGGTGGTCTTTTAGCTCACTCTGAGTTTTGTTTTTTACAAGAGTTTTCTAGCAGGAAAGAAATCTTTCCATAACAATCTCCTTTTCCGGGGCGTGACTGAGCTTGCCTCCCGGTTATGGTGGATAGAGATGCTTTTTCGGAGAATATGACTCGGACGTCTGCCTCCCCCTCCCATCCCTTTCGTTTCCTTCTCTGTTGTTTGCTGGACCGAAGAAGTGCAGACGGTCTTGTGCGTGGCTGTTTTGTTCACACTCCCCTGGCATTGTGGGTTGCGTAGTCTTTAAGACCACCCGGCTGCGTTCACATATTCTGGTGCCAAGGAAAAGGCGGCTTGGAGTGGAATCTTGGCTGAGTGAGAAAGGGAGTTTGCAGAGTTCTTGGTTCAAGCCAAGCTGGCCTGTAAACAGAAAAGCTGAAATGGGGTGTTCGGGGTGGGGGTGGGCGTAGAAATGGGTGCCACTAATAAGGAGGTCGGGCCCTCATCCTCTTTATGTTATAATCAGGAGCCTCTGCAAGGGGCGGTGGTGGTCAGAAGTCAAGGTGGCGTCCGCGACCATGCCGCCCTAGCCCGGCCCCTGCTTTAAGGGTGTCAGGGACACGTCAAAAGGGGACCGGATGCCATTTTGACTTCTTTGATCCCCCTGCAGATAGCCCTGGGGTAATGTCCTGCAAGTTTCAGTAGTCGGTCTTTAAGGTCACCTGCACACCCTCCGCCTGCTGACTTGGGGTGCCTCTTTGACCCCTTTGGGTGAAGATCTGCCTCCTGCAGGTCTTGGCTGTCTGGACCGGGCTGGTTCCTGGAGGGAAGGAGGGGCAGACGGGCCTGTTTCCCCTGGCGCTTCGCGGAGCATCTCTTGGCCTGGCAGCGGATCTGAGGAGGGGAAGACGGTGCCCGAGGCAGCGGCTGAGCGAGAAGCTCCAAGCAGCGCTTGCAAGGCTTCACCGAAGTTGGTGCCAGGTTTGTAATTTGTAAACACGGACGGGGACGAAGGAATTAAGCTCATCTCTGATTTGCAGCCCCGTAGGCTGGCCGGGAACAACCTCTCACCCGGGCTGCAGCCCCATTCCAGAAAAACCGTCCCATTTAGCCTCCTCAACTGAGAACAGCCCCCAGTAAAAAGGGGT